TATGGAAAAAGATGAATATATGTATATCAAACGTGAGGCTCTAATTGGCATGTGGTAATTCAACTTGTTACGCATGGCCCAAGTAGACGATGAGATTCTGCACTAGGATCGGTTTTAAATGGCTTCCTTGTCTAGTTGTCTTCATTTTCAAAGTGATTTTAATTATAATAAAAATATCACAACATTATCCCCAAATCCTCAGTATAGCCAACATTTAATAATTTCTTTTTTTTTTTTTTTTTTGAGAAGACTCATGTCCAAAATACAAGGTATTCTTACTAGTTATTGTTTCGTCTCATAATAATAATCGGATTTATTGAACATGTTTTTTTTTTTTTTTTTCTTTTTAAGATTGTTGATCACAAATTTGAGGTTTATAATCTTGTGATTATAAATCTCTCGTAATATCATCCTATCTAACCTATCTTCTAACTTACGGTTTCTTAATATCTATAAGATTTGTTGTCCAAATGAAGAGTTCCACTATAAAAGATGAAGGCTTAATTTGCATACTTCATTACTTCGTCTCATTCCCTTCTATATATGGTCCCCTTTTCATCACATGATAAAATTCTCAAGAATAAAGTTGTGGCCTTTTGTTTTCAAAACTATCTCAAATTCATCAAGCAACTATCTAAGTAGAAAGATGTGTCATTTTGAGTATGGATTGAGAGAGTTATCGAGGAAAAGAGGCATATGAGTATGTGAGGATGAGATTAAGTCCACTAAAACGAAATATATTCCATTCAAATCTCCTATCTAATTTGTTGTTAGCCTAGTTTAGAATTCTGTTGTTCTGTTTATTTGTTTGTTTGCCTTTTTTTTTTTTTTTTTGTGCGTAGACTGGGCGAGAATCAGCTCTGGAAAAACTAGGGTTTCGGAAAGGGGATTTTGCTAAGAACAAAACAGAAATTAAAGAGCGAGTTTAATGTGTCTGAATTCATCATAATTCATTAATGCTGCTGATTGCGTATTTATATAGATAAGGTGGCTGAGTCTAAGTAAACCGCCATACAGTAGAAAGACTAATCTACCCTTACTATTAAATCTGAGTATTCTAGTCAACAAAGGATAACTCTGTACATTGACAATTACATTCTATTTGACTATGTAAAACTGAATTAACAACTTGTTAATCATCATGCTTTGATTCCTGAATCTGATCAACAGCAGCATTATCATCATCTTGATATTCCTTCAACTAGTCTAATTAAATAGAAGGGCGAGCAGACTTAAACGGTTAAACCAAAGCAATCTAATTATCGTTTACTTCTTCCGTCCTATAAATTATTTAGAATTCGTGAAAACTTAATTTTATAATTAACTTTATGTATTTATTTGTTTTTTTTTTCAATCCGTTTCAGTTAGTTTCGGAAATCTTCTTAAGTCATATTGCAGCCCCATTTCTTGGCAAAAGACAACGAAGAAAAATAAAGGTTCCTTCCAAAGGGGGGTTTGCTCTTTTAAGCATAGACATGGAAAAAGTGGAAAGGGAAAAACATTCAGCACCAAGATAGAGAAGACTATATCGAGAAGCTTTAGCACTTCGATTTTTCATCATTTTTTTGTTTCCGTACATAGTAGTGCATAATTGGCTTTTTTCAAAACTTTTTCAGATCAATCGAGTCAAAATTCAAGAATATGAAAAATGTATAATCAGGTTTTGCCTCTTTTATTGTATAAAAAAAATATGAAAAATGTGAAGCCTTTTGACCCTTTGATATGATTTTTTTTTCTTTTTTATTGGGTGGCAAGACGAATGAAGTATTTGGTTTACAGAATTTTATTTTCTCGCAAAAATTATTTTTCTCCGACCCCCAACATTACACGTTTCACATTTTGCTTTTCCCTTTTGTCCCTAGTATTATAGGTCCACGATCAAAGTGATTCATTACTGAAAACCTGAGATGCCAAATTGTTTAAAATTAATTCATAAGATTAAAAAAATCTTAAAAGACAATTAAAATATGTATTTATGATTAATCCTCTCGAATTGTACCTACCAGCATTGCACTCAATGAACTACTATTTTACTTCCTCCATTCACCAAAAAAAAAATAAAAAATCCACATAAGTTATAAATTGTATTAGTTTTAGTGTAATTCATAAATTACAATGTAAAATAATTTTATAGGACGAAAGAAGTATAAATAAGATAACTATCGCGACTAAAATTTTAGTGCTGATACAGTATTTGTTTTCCTTTTTAAAAAATAGCACTATTATCACGAAAAAGAGTACTTTGAATTAATTGAAGGTGGAGAAAGTTGGTGGTGATGGTAGTGATGATGATAGTAAAGAAACAAATAAAAAATAAAAACGGTGATGGAGACGACTTAATCTCAGTCCGGAAAATTCAAAATCATGGGATATCGAGGCTGATGTTTCTGATTGTTACACTTTACCACCGATATTAGGCATTCATCCTAATCTTTGTTTATTGATAATTTTTTGTAGGTAAAATTTGATTTAGTATATATAAGACAAATCAATTAGGTCTTTATAGAATTTCTTAAAATTTGAGAAAATAATAATTATTTGGCTTTATATATAACTATAGATCCACATTACGATCTAAAGAATGATACATGTGTACAATTGTGGGAAGTGCTTCATGAAGTGTTAGATACAAAGTATCCAAAAGAATCTTTTGTGCTAAACTCAAATCATTTAATTTTCTGTAGACAATAAAGAACTCCCTCCGTCCCATAATTATTGTTCACTTTGCCCAAAAAATTTTGTCTCAAAATTGTTGTCCAATTTGACTTTTTATGGATCAAGTTACACATTTGTCCTTAGTAAAAAACATTATCCATAAAATCTTAGTGGTTAAACAATTACTTATGTAGGGGTATATCCGGTTGTTTAAGGTAAAATATAGTTAAATTTGACCAAAAATAAAATATTTTATTTTAATAAAACTGGACAATAATTATGGGACGGAGGGAGTATTTTGAAGATGAAAAGTAAAGAATGATTCTCTCAATTTGTTAGCCACCATTAGGCAATTTACAGGCTAAGATACCAATGATTGAGAAACACAGCAAAAAGTTTACTATCATTCCCAAGCTATTTCATAAGAAGAAAGTTTACATGGTTGGAGTATTTTAGCTAGGAAATAGAGTTATCAGGATGAGACATTAGATTGTTGGAAAGTGACACAGTAAAAGTTAAATGTTTTGACTTTGTAATAGATGTACACATCCCTGCAAAAACATTAAAATTTATACTATTAATAGACGTACACATCCCTGCAAAATGTCTTAATAGTGGTTTCTCATTTACCTCCTATGTGATTTAAACCCGTGACTTATTAGTTCAAGGTGAGATGTCTTACCTCTAGACCGCACCTCGTTGTCATTTAACTTATACTATTACAAAGTCAAAACATTTAAGTTAAAATTATTTGTTAAACCGCCAAGCAGATAAATAAAAAAATAAACTTAAATAAATAAACAAAATAAATTAATTAATTAAATAAATAAATTAAAAAATTAAAAAAAAAATTTTTAAAAATAATTTCAGTTTGGCGCTCGGCAAACCGAGGGGGGTGACCCCCATTTTGGAGGTAACATTCCTTCTCGCCTCCCTTAATTGGGAGGCGAGAAAATTGTGCGCCACCCTTTAAAGGTGGCGCCTTTCTCCTGCGCTAGTCTTGCGCTAGCCGTGAAAGGATGACGCAATGTTTCCTCGTCTCTTTCCTTTTTTAAAAAAAATATATATATGTAAAGGTAAAATAGTCTTTTAAAGATTTTTTAAGGCGTTCAAATGAAAAAATTAAGGCATTCAGTAGCCTCTCAGAAAATGATAGCTAATTTTGAAAAGAGCATATTACAATCGATCGCTTGATTAGTGAGAGCTTTGCTTACTAGTTTATAACACCTTGAGGGGTCTGTTGTGTAGTATAATTCTCCTACTATATAAAGAAGGGATAATAGTTCTCTTTGTTGTTAGGGTTTCGATCAAATGACTTCATGTTCTCTTTTAGAGTTCTTATACTTCAATGCGATCCTCCTTTCCCCCCAAGCAAGAAAATGCATTTTTAAATTTTTGATCATGAGCTTCCGAAGTTACAACCCTAAAAGAAAAAGAAAGAAACAAATTTTGTTGAAAAAAAGTTGGATCGCCATGGGAGTAATTGGATGAATAAAATGCAGTCATTGTACGTCTAATTGAAATATTCAAAGAACTCGCTCTTATTTGGTTATCACACGACCTGAAAATCATTTTTTTTTTTTTTTTGTTGAATTCTATTATCCGCAATCTCCATCGTCTTGTCTTTGCTACTGTATTTTTATAACCATTTATCATTAGGTCAGGACTCTTTTACTTTCTTTTTTTTTTTTTTTAATTCACCTTAGTGGATTCCATTTAAATGTAGGCAAAACCCCATTACATACTTATTGATGGGAATTAAATTCACGTCTAATATCAAGAAGTACATCATCTTAACCATTAGATTGTTATAAAATTCCCCGCCAACTTTATTTTTCACAAGTGAGGGTTAAAAAATGTCATTCAAAACTTAAAAAAAAAAAAACGAAGCACAATTAAATTTGTTTGAGATTACTATTAATTTAATAGATCGTTATTTTTAAGGTACAAATAAAGATACACTATGGCTACCAGAATATATTAGACACCCTTACAAAATCATATCATAGTACGGTAAATATGGCATGGGATACTTATTGCCACTTTTCTGTGGTAGTCTCTGATGCATCATTCAAGAATTTCGTATAAATTTTGTTGTTTGTGTTAATATTTATATTATTTTTAATCACTTTGGAAGTTGTACATTTTAAAAGTAAGATTTACCTTTTTCGGGTTATGACCTATTTATTTTAATTCCTACAGTTAAAAAATTCAATGGAAATAATTAAATTTCATTAATAATAAAATATTGATATAAAAAATAAAATAATATTATAACTAAAAATTATATATAGTGAAAAATATATATTTTATGGTATATTTATTAATACAAATTATATTATCTCTAAAAAATAATTGAATTGTGCAACAGAAAGTGACACACGAAAGTAGTACAAAAGATTTTATGACGGTCGGTTCTAACGGTTGATAATATTTCCATCATAATATATGCACACAATATATAGAGACATGATTAAGGTCCATATGTCTCATACTAACAAAATGGAAAAGACCAGAATGCATCACGAGCCAATCAAGTCATTCTGGAGTCCCCACACTCCACACTACTACTACTACAACTTCATTGTCTTCTTCCGCGGATTGTATGGCCGATGGATGCATATAAAAAGGTGCTTCTTCTCTGTGTTTATTTCCCATTCATTGGCCGTTTCTTCCTAAGCTTAGATAAAAACCATGAAGAACAAAAACCAAATAGATTTAGAGAAGAAAGACACCGTTAATATGAGTGAAAATGGTGAAGAAGGCAATAGAAGTGGCGGTTTTGCTACAATTACAACAACAAGGAGGAGGTGGAAGCTTGGTGGAATCCGAACTATGCCTTTTATCCTTGGTATAAGTTCTACTTCAATTCTCCTTGTGTGTGTGTGTGTGTGTTTTCTTTTCTTTTTTCTTCCTCACTTGATATCCATATATCTTCTGTTCTTTCAACCTTCTTTCATCTTTCTATGAGGAATTTGATTTCCCCATGTGTTTTTGGCTTTTTGTTGATGAACAAGTAAAAAGCTTGGGAATGCTTTTAACCTTATCCTGTCTGTTTAGGAAACTTAAACGAGCAAACACGAAATATAATTTGACTCTTTAGCATATTATGCCCTGATTTCTCAACGAATGGCATTAATATAATTTATATCTAATATTTAATCTGTATTATGGAAGCTTGTGAATCCAAAAGGAAATGGTGGCCATGTGTATGTAAAAGTGATAACTATGTAGAATGTTGTAATTATGGTTTTGGCTTCTTTCTGTGGGTTTCTGTCCGACTAATCATCTTCTCAAAATAGTTCCTTTTTCTCCCCATATTTCACGTGTATTATGGAAACATATATGTATCTATTTTTTATATCACTTTTAGTTTCGATTCATTTAAGTTCTTTTTTATTATTATTTTTATATCACTTTTAGTTTTATTTCATTTAAGTTCTTTTATTTTTTTTTATTTTTTAATGTATTGTAAATAAAGAGGCTTCTTCAAGACTATATGGATACTATTTCTTATACACATGAAATGACAAATTACAAGAGTCATTGTAACTTGTAAAGTCAAAAATATATGAATAATAATGGGTAGTCCTTTTCATTAATATTATTTATTACTGAATTATGCTTAATAATTCATCTCTTACTTAAGTTGATCCACAAAAATTGATTTCCTCCCAACACTTAAAAAATGACTCAATTTCATCATCAACTTGATTTCACCTCCTACTTGCCTCTCTTGGCAAAAAATATTGGTCCTAATCCAAAACACAAAACACTTGGGATATAATTAAAAAAATAAATAAATAAACATAAAGGATACCTACCATCGGGTACCTTAATCGCTCGAAAAGAAAGATTCATCATAAATAGTCATGAATTTAATATATAAACCTGTTGTTTTATGCAATATATAGGTATACTTATTTCTCAATATGTATTTCAAGTTATATTTTGTGAAAATTACTGGTGCAGCGGGCCATGCACTTAAAAGTATTAACGAGTTAGATTGATGTTTCCACCTCTGATTTGAAAAAAAGAAAGAAAGAAAAAAAGAAAAAACAGCCATAAGTTGTCCAACGTAGATGATACAATTAAGAGAAATCATATGGTTAAATAATAAATTTTTGTGATAATACTGGGGGAATATTTTAAACAATTATCTTTATCCTGATAGGTAAATTACCCGTGGAAAATTAAAAGTTGATATAAACAGTTATTGCATTCTATGGAATAGGGAATTGATATAAATTAAAAGTTGTGACGGTCCAGAGTGTCAATATTAGTTTCTGTTGGTTTTCAATTTGGCTTTTCGAAATCACTTCATTATACACAACAAGAACAAGAACGAATTAAGATGAGTTTAGATGACGATCTTTTTACGTCTCGATGACAGGTTTGTTTTCTGGTATTCATGAATATCAACGAAAACAAGAATTGATTTAGACTCGGGATGAAAATTTCCCGTGGAAAAGTCCTTAAGAATATAATTGTTGAAATTTCTAGTAAAGCCTTTTTCAGTCCTTAAAATCATTATCATTATTATATCGCAACTTTTGGTGAGTGCTTTACAGTAGTGTTTAGAAAAGTGTCTCACAATCAATATTGAAAAGCGTCAAATATATTCTTTGTTTTACTCAAATGAATAAATGTGACCATTAGCAATATAGTCCAGATGTTGATGTAAAGCAAGAACTTTACATACCCACAAAGTAGAGCATAAACCCTACGATGAACAGCGGATAAGAGAACGATTCGCACTGTACGACTTTCGACATCTGGATTGCTCAGATTCTCTAACATAGCATTATTATTCTTGCAAATTTTTTATTACGAAAGTACGATAGAAGATCAATTCTTTTGTGGAAAATAATAATAATAAGGAGAAAAATTTGTAGAGCAAAAAATGTTGAAGAAGTAACATCATCGTTTAGATAAACTGAAACCAGAATCAACAAAGATTGTGTTATTTAGTACTCGTCCCAAAATTATTGTCCAATTTGAGATTTCACTTTTAGTACAATTTGAACTGAAAAAATAAAAATCTAAACTGGACAATAATTATTGGACAAAGAGAGTACTACATTAGTCACATAGTAAGAATAGTCTTTGGACACCGTAAGTATACTTTTAAATTTCTGTACTATAAATAGATTTTTCAATTTTTATACTTCTACATATATCTGTTGATATAAGTAATTTGGACCCTGGCAATATAGATAATGTTTATGCGATATTATTATTTATTTCACCAATTATTTTACTAGATGACTTTATTTCTTTTGTATGGATATTTTTTGTACAGCAAATGAGGCCTGTGACAAATTTGCGGCAACTGGATTCCATGCAAACATGATAACGTACCTGACCCAAGTGCTCAACTTGCCGCTGGTGAAGGCCTCCAACACACTCACCAACTTTGCCGGAATTTCAAACTTTACCCCACTTTTGGGTGCTCTCGTTGCCGACTCCGTCGCCGGCCGGTTTTGGACCCTTTTTGTTGCTTCCATCATTTATGAACTGGTCCATCTCCAATCCTTACCTATCTAACTTCTTCTCCTTAAAATGTCTAGTTCAGTTCAATAAATTGCAATACCTTGGTAAAAATATTACGATTAGAAAAGGGGGAAAATCCCACTATTATGATTTTTCTTTCTATGCAGGGAATGGTTAGCATTACTATTTCAGCAGCATTGCCAAAATTTCATCCTCCGGCGTGCCCAACTCAACAGAACTGCAAAGAAGCATCAAGCTCACAACTTTCAGTCTTGTACATCTCTCTGCTTTTGACTTCTTTGGGAACTGGAGGCCTTAGGCCATGTGTGGTCACCTTTGCGGCCGACCAATTCGACATGAGCAAATCCAAAGTGGCCTCCAGAAGCTGGAATTTCTTCAACTGGTACTATTTTTGCATGGGAATGGCCACACTCTTGGCTCTCACTGTCGTGGTTTATATCCAGGACAATGTGGGTTGGGGTTGGGGACTTGGGATCCCAACTATTGCAATGGGATTGTCGATTATCGCCTTTGTTGTTGGGGCACCTCTGTACCGGAAAGTGAAGCCAGGGGGAAGTCCGCTAGTTAGGTTGGCACAAGTAATTGTTGCAGCATTCAAGAAGAGAAAGCTTCTTTTCCCAAATGCTGATCAGCCTGGTGTTTTATATGAGAATAAGGAGCTTGATACTGATATTTCAACTGATGGGAGGCTCATTCACACAAACCAGTTCAGGTCAGCCATCATACTTGACATTATAGAATGAGTATTTTCAAAGACTTATCTATATATGTTGAGTAACTTTCTCCAAGTGGTTCACGACTTCATGCAGGTGGTTTGATCGGGCTGCTATAGTGACAGATGGAGATTTTGATGAATCAAACCAGCCAGATCTATGGAGATTAGCAACAGTCCATAGAGTTGAAGAGCTAAAATCCATCATTCGTGTTTTACCAATCTGGGGAGCAGGGATATTACTAGTCACTGCTAACTCACATTTGCACAGCTTCACAATCCAGCAAGCTCGTAGCATGAATCGTCACTTATCACCCTCTTTTGAAATCCCTCCAGCAAGCTTATCAATCTTCAGTGTCTTAACAATGCTTGTTGGACTTGCATTATACGAGCGCCTTTTCGTGCCATTTGTTCGGCGATTCACAGGACATCCAGCAGGGATCACGTATTTACAGCGAATGGGCGTGGGGTTCACAATCAACATTCTCGTTACAATCGTGTCAGCGCTTGTTGAAATCAAACGGAAAGAGGTTGCTGCACGACACAATCTTCTTGACAAGCCGACTGCCGTCATACCGATAAGTGTCTTTTGGCTGCTGCCACAATTCTGCCTACATGGAGTCGTTGAAGTGTTTAATTCTGTGGGGCATTTGGAATTTCTTTATGATCAATCACCAGAGAGCATGAGAAGTACAGTGGTAGCTCTTTACTCCCTTGCATCATCATTTGGGAATTACATTGGAACTTTCTTGGTGTCTGCAGTTCACAAATATACACGGAAAGAGAGGAACTGGCTGCCTGATAGAAACCTGAACAGAGGAAGGTTGGAGAATTATTATTGGTTGGTGACTGTAATTCAAGTATTCAATCTCATTTACTATGTGATATGTGCATGGTGCTACACCTACAAGCCAATTGAAGAATTAACTGATCATGATGAAATGGGTGAAGAATTAGACATGGAGTTAGCTAAGGGTACTATAAAAATACCAGAACCGCAGAATTAGCAAAATACAACTAGCTGATTACATTGTGTGCCTTCCGATACCAAAGATTTGGATAGGTAGTAAGAGCGGCTAAGGGCACTATCCAAGTACAGATAGTGAAGCAAAGTCAGCAATGGACAACAACTGGCTAGTTTTATTAACGTGTCTTCCAATACCAAAGGATTGGAGTGGTAATAAAGAGTAAACTGAAAGCAGCTAAGTGTATTATCAAGTTATCAGATACTGAGCAAAATTAGCATGTACAACTGGCTAGTCATATTATGTGCCCTTCCCTTACAATGCCAAAGGCATGAAAGATTTTGTAAGACTGACGCGGTTGTAATCCTTATACTGGTTCAAATTTAGAGAATTCAAGTTCCGGTATTTTTTTAAAAAGAAATTAAGTAAAAAAAAAAATTACCTTCCACCAGTATTGTTTGGCGTTTTACTATGTTAAACTAATACTAACTCAATTTGACTTCAATGGACACTTTCTTTCTCGGGATGTCTGGAAATGTGACTCACCTCATTATGAACACAGCTGTAACTGTTGAAATCTTCACAACTCTAGACAATTTATCGCTCCTGGTTCACTAACAGATCCATTATTAACTATGGATAGTTCGGAAAATCACTGTGAAGTTAACTACCTCAATTGTACTAGCAATTCTGCTGGAATTGTACTAAAAAGACAACTATTCCTAGATGGAGTTTGGAACTCTTTAGAATTCTGAAAACTAAAGGGGAACACAAGATACTAGAGACTTTAGCTTCTTGGAGATGTTTGGTTCTTAAAGCAGAACTGGAAAAGTAATGGACGTAGGAGAAGGAAAAAAGAGTACATTTTCAGTAGTAGCTCTTAGTTCTAACATCGTATATGATCACAAGGTTTCTTTCTAAAATATTTTGACAATTCTGCATCAATAATTCATATCTTTTGTACTTCACTGTTAATGTGATGTTGGTGGTGATGATAATTGTGGGTCTCCCTCACCCATTGCCAAAACCCAACCAATAAAATTATCTCAACTTTCTTGTCTTTGTTATCAGCCGTGGTGGTGATAGTGGTGATGGTGGCGAGAAATAGAGCAGGAGATGAATTATTCAAAGTCAAGAGCTCATCATTGAGTAAGGCACTGGAAGAAAGAAGATGTTACCACAGGTTTTTATGGATAATTATAACCTTGAAATAGTTCTGTGTACCTATCATTCTTTCCATTCAAAAAGCCAGGTTATTTCCTTCCTTTTTTTTTGGGTGTACTTTCCTCTCTACTCAGGATTACAGTACATTAATGCTAATTATTTTTAATGTAATGTAACTAAAAATCACTAAAAGGCTATAAACTTAATGTTGGCCAAACAGCAACTTCTCGAAAAAGTGAATCTCTCACCCAGGAAGAATTCACAAAATCAACATCATTCTATGTTTTGGTTTTATAAACTACAATGCCATCAGTGGCATATTCATTGCAAACACATGATCGACAACAGCTATCGTCAACGAAAAAGAATCATGAACTCTAAATTGAATGAAAGGTGATGAAATGAGTTTACGATTAAAAAAGAAGTGTTGGAGCATCGAATCCCTGAAAATCAAGCCCTATTTTCGCATTCTCAAGCAGAAAGGACATATCTTGGATTGGCAGGCTGCATAACAGCTGAGGATCACTTACCCATTGACCTATAACTTCCATAATTTTGCTTTGCCTAAGTAGCTACTAACTAATTTTCACCATTCTTTTAGCTGCAGCTAAGGGAACTATATTACAGTAGCAGATTCACATCAATATATGGCACCATTGAAGGAACAACTTTCAACATTTCTGTAATATACTGAACATGCAAGGCAAATAGCTAGTCAAATTCTAGAAAAATGTTTTTTCACAAGAAATTTCAAAAAACATATACGACGGACTAAGGAAACCCAATTTCAACCACAAAAGATTCATTTCAATCATCCCACGACGAATCCATATTTAACTAACATCTGAATGAAAACGCACAAGCAGCTAGCATAGACCAAAACTGGTATACAATCAAATGAACAAGGATCGGAGAACCGAAAACGAAGAACGAACTTGATTTAGAAACAAAAAACAATCCAGAAAACTAAATAGAAAAACAAACCTCAATATTGGATAATTCGATTCGTAATGATTCTGTGACCGGATATCCAAAGCTTTTCCGTCGCCGTCGCGGCCGCCCCGCCAATTCCGTTCCGTTTATTGGGAGCAGCGTCCGCCGGTGGAAAGGAAGAATTGATTTGAAACAACGAAAAAAAGAAAGAAAGAAGATATAGAGTAACCCGTAATTGTTATAACCCGGTTCAATATATTTCGACCCGAAACCTCAACCCGCGTCTTTGTGTTTCTCCCCCAAAAGGTTTTCAGAGGGTTTTTGAGCGAAGAGGCTCAAATGATTATAACTTCACCACCATTAAAATCATGCAATCGAGCTCAGAAATGCTGATTTTTTCGTGATTAAAGCCCCTGCTTTGAACTACTGATGAATCTTTTTGGGCCCAGAAAATGGTTGTACGGAGCATTCTCTGCAAGAATTTAAAAAAGACAAGGTGCGTTTTCAACAATTGTCATCTTGGTAGAACAGTTTATAGCTATGGTTCTGTTTATTCTTCAAGTGATTTGATTGCTGCTTTCCATGGCTCGAATTTGAGATTTTTATCATCTTTGCACTCTGCCTATTCAGTTTCTTCAAAAAGATGTGAATTCTTTATGCCCCGAGATGGGAATTTTTTGGTAAGAAATTATTGTTCGGGGAAAAGTGGGCAGGAGTCCAATGAGTGGACTGGGGAAATAGAGTATTTAGATGAGTCCGGTAGTGTAATTTATTCTGGCAAGGGGATAAGGTCTGTGGAGCCTGGTGTTGATGACCATGTAATGTGGGGAGGGTTAAAGAAGCCTATTTCTAATGCTGAGGCCGTTGCGAAGATTGTCGAGATAGTTAAAAGATGGAAATGGGGTCCTGATATGGAGACCCAGTTGGATAGGCTTCAATTTTTCCCTAGCATGACTCATATTCTGCAGTCTTTGAAAGTTCTCGGAGATGGTGATTCATCCTTGGGTCTATTTCGATGGGCCAAGAGGCAGTCTTGGTATTCCCCTAGTGATGAGTGTTACATTACATTGTTGGAAAGGCTTGAGAAGGGTAGTGATTATGATGGCATTCAGTCGGTTTTTGATGACATGGTTCGCGATTCAGGTGAAAATGGGATGTCTTCTTTCAGTGCGTATAATCGGGTAATTCAGTCATTGGCAAAAGCTGAAAAATTGGAGGTGACATTCTGTTGTTTTAAGAAAATGAAAGAAATTGGTTGCAATGTTGATACCCCTACCTATAATTCATTGATAAACCTATTTCTTGATAAAGGCTTACCTTATAAAGCATTTGAGATATATGAAAGCATGGAAGCAGCCGGGTGTTCTTTAGATGCATCAACTTATGAGTTGATGATACCAAACCTGGCTAAATCAGGCCGTCTTGATGCAGCTAACAAGCTCTTTCTGGAGATGAAAGGGAAGAATTTCCAACCAGGTTATGGGGTTTTTTCTGCTCTTATTGATTCAATGGGTAAAGCAGGCAGGCTAGACACAGCATTGAAGGTGTACATGGAAATGCAAGGGTTTGGTCTCAGGCCTTCTGCCAGCATGTTTGTTTCTCTTATAGAGTCCTTTGTTAAAGCTGGGAAGCTAGACACAGCAACCAGGCTATGGGATGAGATGAAGAAAGCCAGATTTAGACCTAATTATTCGCTCTACACAATGATGGTTGAGTCCCATGCGAAATCTGGTAAGCTTGAGACTGCAATGACTCTTTTTACAGATATGGAATGTGCGGGATATTTTCCAATGCCATCTACCTATTCTTCTCTTTTGGAGATGCATGCTGCGGCAGGACACGTGGATGCTGCTATGAAGCTGTATAACTCTATGACCAATGCCGGTCTTAGACCTGGGCTGAGTTCATACACAGCCCTGCTGACGCTTCTTGCCAAAAAGAAGCTTGTGGATATTGCTGCAAAGGTGTTACTTGAAATGAAGGCAATGGGATATTCGGTGGATGTGAGTGCCAGTGATGTTTTAATGGTTTATATCAAGGATGGTTCTGTTGATCTTTCTTTAAGGTGGCTGCGATTTATGGGATCATCTGGTATTCGAACAAATAATTTCATAATTAGGCAGCTCTTTGAATCATGTATGAAAAGCGGCTTGTACGAGTCAGCCAAACCTCTCCTTGAAACGTATGTCAATGCTGCTGCTAAGGTTGACCTTGTACTTTACACATCAATTCTTGCGTACCTTGTTAGATGCCAGGAGGAGCATAACGAGAGGCATCTGATGGCCATCCTGAGTGCTACCAAGCATAAAGCTCATGCATTCATGTGTGGCCTCTTTACAGGGCCGGAACAAAGGATGAAACCAGTTTTAACTTTTGTGAGGGAATTCTTCCAGGGAATTGATTATGAACTAGAGGAAGGGGCTGCTAGGTACTTTGTTAATGTTCTATTGAACTACCTTGTTCTGATGGGGCAGATAAATCGTGCTCGATGTGTATGGAAAGTCGCATATGAAAATAAGCTTTTTCCTAAGGCTATAGTATTTGATCAACATATTGCCTGGTCTCTTGATGTTAGAAACCTTTCAGTTGGGGCTGCTCTGATAGCAGTGGTGCATACCCTTCATAGGTTCAGGAAGAGGATGTTGTACTATGGGGTTGTCCCCAGGCGGATTAAGTTGGTCACCGGACCAACTTTGAAAATTGTGATTGCTCAAATGTTAAACTCGGTGGAGTCGCCATTTGAAGTCAGTAAGGTTGTTCTGAGGGCCCCTGGAGACTCTGTGTTGGAGTGGTTCAAGAAACCAATTGTGCAACAATTCCTTTTAAACGAGATTCCATCAAGGTCTGATATATTGATGCATAAACTTAATACAATTTTTCCTTGTTCTGCCCCTGAAATTAGATCTCTCACCCCTCCTAAGCCTCTTCTTGTGGGGAAGTCTTTATGAGCATCAGAGTGATATGCAATTACAATCTCTGATGACGATGAAGTGTCTGATTATTTTTGTTGGTTGGGCCTGGGGATACCATTTGTTGGGATGTATCTCTTAATGTAGATCTGATTTTCATCTTGGGAAATATATTTTAATGAAATTATAACTTGGCAACATGTCTCCAAGTAATTTCCTTCTTGTTCATACCTTGGATATTTTCAATGCCCGATCTTGAAGGACATGTCAAGGATTCATTTTCACGTGCTCTATGAAATGCATATTCGCCGGAACATTGCTGTGAATGTGCTTGTAAATACTTGTGCTTGGACTTTAATGTTGCCAGCTGCTATTGGGAAAGGGAAAAGCACATACTTGATGTGATGGGGTTGGGAAGAAAGATATAATTTAGGTAATGTTGAGGAAAAGAAAATGCTGTGTTTTTTACTTTGTTAATGTAATGTGTGACAGTTGCAACTGCAATGTGCTAGGTTAAACTGACTTAAGGGTTTGAATGTTCCCATTCCATCAAATCTTTGGATTGTTATCTTGGGGAAGTGGGAAAGTATCTTTAACCAATCTACCGATTGCAAGTTTTCTCAACAGATAAATTGTTTTACTGGTTTTATGATCTGGAGTTTGGCGGTAGAGCACAGTGAAATATGTCAGTTTTTTCTTCGAGGAAGTGCTACTACGTGTGCTGCGATTGACATTTTATATTTTTCAGTTGACAATCCGTAGTTAGTTTTTGATATAAATAAGTTGGGTGTAAATTTGGTTTTCAGTCTGACTGCGCAGTGTTAGAAAGATCAATCAACTGGTGAAATTCACCTAAAGTTTGGGAATGTAATATGAGGGAGAACAGTACAGTCATGTGCTGGCACAATTAGACTAGCAATTCGTGTCGGGTTCATGTTGGCGTGTCGAGTCGAACCCGAACCCGTAAAAAATTAGGCTAACTTGAACCCGACTTGAATAAATGTATAGGTCACATATTAGAATCCTAAACCTGACCTGAAAATGTATGAGTAACTCGTGACCCAATCTATCAACCCGTGAAAAGTATATTGTACTGTATTTATTTTTTTGAATTTAATATAAAAAACAACCTCGAAATTTTGATCCATTATCAAAAACACTCCAATGTTGGAAAAACAATCAAGGTAGTCTTTGGACAATGTTTTGTTGTAGTTTTTGATTTGGATTTAGGAGGAGATTTAAAATTTAGTTTAGTTTTTTATTTGGATAGTATTATAGTATAGTGAATATTTTTGAAATTAAAATAGTTCAGTGACCAAACTATAAACTTTACAATAGTTTAGTGACCATTGACACTAAACTTTCCCTCACCGTCGGATCATCTCCATCACGGGCCGTCATTGCCGGGCCGTAGCCGCTAACCCAACGGTGGCAGCCGATGGTGGAGGTGGTCCGGTGGTGGTTGACAAAAATTATGTAAAAATAATGTTTAAAATATTTTTTAAAAGTTAAGTTAAATTGATATTTTTATGGTGCATTAGGTTTTGTGTTTAAGCGGTAAAATGAGCAAAAGGCAAAATAAATGGTTGTCCACACAAAGCCCGAGAATCTCCCTTGACCGACGAAACTTCAAAGGGTCAATGTAGTAAAATAACAAAAAGACCAATGAGTTTCCGACAAACTCTAAACACATACGGTATCCTCGAGTCCGTATCCAGTGCACCCGGGTGTACCGTATACCTCCCCTCACCAAACACACGCGCAACACGCGCTCAATTGTTTTTACCTTTACATTAAATGCACACACAAAATTATTTTCATCCATTTCATCCTCACGTACAAACACACATAAACACACAATCGACGGAAACTCTCCATTTTAGGGCAAATACAAAATTGACCACCACCACAAAATTACAGAAAGTCGACGGAAAACCTCCACTGGAAGACGATTTTGATAACTTCATCTTCTCTCTGCGTTTTTTCCTTTTGTCAGTCTGTTCTTTCACAAACACACACGCACACAGACGACAGCGAGAAACCCTACCTCCGGCCATCTCAACTCTCCTTCATCTGTACATGCTTCACTGGTAAGTATATTACTCCTTGATCCTATTTTTTTGATTATCCAGTAATATTTTGTGTTTATCCACTAGATCTGAACTGCTTATCCATGTTTTCTGCGTATGCTATGTGATGGTTGTCCATGCCATAATTGCTGGTTATCCACCCATTTCATACTGGTTATCCACATAGCATACTGGTTATCCACCCATTTCATACTGGTTATCCAGAAGGTGTAAACTGGTTATCCACAAATTGTACATTGGTTATTTACAAGTTGTAAACTGGTTATCCACACTTTTTTTACATTTGATTCTATGTGGCATGGACAAACTGAACTGGTTATCCATGTTTTTGTGTTTTTTTGTTACTGATTATCCACTATATATCTGAACTGGTTATCCAAGTTTTCCTACGTGTGTGCTATGGGGTGCTTCTCCAAACTTTGTTTGTGGTCATCCACCCATTTCACCCATTTCATACTGATTATCTGCAGGGTGTAAACTGGTTATCCACATAGCATACTGGTTATCCACCCATTTCATACTGGTTATACAGAAGGTGTAAACTGGTTATCCACAAGTTGTAAACTGATTATCCATACATTTTTTACATATGATTCTATGTGGCATGGACAAATTGAACTAGTTATCCACTATATATCTGAATTGATTATCCAAGTTTTCCTGCGTGTGTGCTATGAGGTGCTTGTCCAAACTTTTTTTGTGGTTATCCACCCATTTTATACTGGTTATCCGCAGAGTGTAAACTGGTTATCCATTGTTTTTTTAGATGTGCTTTTATGTGGCTACATATCCATACATTATTTGCTGGTTATCCACCCATTTCATACTGGTTACTCCTTTTTTGATTACTGCTCCTTTTCATATCCTACTATTTTGTCCACTGACTTCTTAGTGATTGTCCAATGCCAACAGTGCCCTAAAGGAGCTTAGAACAAAACATTGGCACGGACGGATCAGCGCAAGCCACGACCTTAACCGCAACCCAGACAGATCACCAGATCCTGAACCAGAGGTAATGGAGCTACCTGAAGGAACACTGACAATATTTAAAAAACAAAAATCAACACAAAAAGAATAGTCCCCTGGTCAAAGTCCAAGGCCCCACAACTTGTGGAGGAAACCAAAGAGAAAGAAGAGCACGCCGACAGGAAATCCAAAGCAACTTGTGCTCGCTGATGACCATGACTCCGCTGATGATAAGAAGCCCAAAAAGAAAAGAACGAAACCTGAGGACAAACTGATGATTGGTCAAGATCCACATTCAATCAGTTCTGAAGATTCTGTCAAAATATTTGAGACCAGGATGACACCAAACCATCTCTTCCAACTCATCACTGAAATTAATAAACCAACAGATCTTACAGAAGAGCCAGATGCGATAGATTATCGCCAACTACAAAGGCAGGCTATCAGAGTTATGGGATTTGGCGCCTTGCTGGATCTCAAAATCAAAAATATTCCAACAGCATTATGTAGTTTTCTGGCAAACAATTTCTAGACCGGTGCGAGACAAGTCTTATTGAATGGCAACAATGTAGTGGATATCAAACAGGAAGATGTTGTTGCTGTACTTGATCTTCCTCGTGGACCCAAACCAGTGGAAGAATTCAAACAGAACGATCTCGCTATAACGGACCACGCAGAGATGGTGGATGCATTCAAGAAAAGAATGGGATACAGTAATAAATTCCTGCCAACGAGATCTACGGCGGCACAATTAATTGCTAGTCGAAAAGATTTTGATGATGACTTCAAACGAGATTTTCTGGTCTTCGTTGTGAGCACATTCCTACATGGAAACACCACCTCCAGAATCACTATGAACATCCTGAAGTCCCTTGTGAACATGAATGAGGTTACAAAATAGAATTGGTGTCAATATGTGATTGATGCACTGGTCAAAGGATGCAAAAGTCACCACGATGGGAAACCATTCACCGGACCGATCACTTTTTTCTGGTACTTACCATATCCATACAAATTTTACTATTTATCCATATTGCTTGCAATGTTTATCCAATTTACTTGTACTGATATCATTAAACCAACTTTTTTTCTTTTTTTTTTTTGTTAGCTGTGCTACCTTGACAGGTGTGAGTATGAGAGAGCACATCCGAGGTCATTTCCTGTGATCAAATGTTGGGATCAAAAGATGCTGGATGACAGATTAAGACTTCGGGGAAGCAATTTCACAGATGTCCAGACACTTGAACGTCTCAAGAAACCGTCCTCAGTAGCATACCGAGAAGAACACCCAGAGGGGGAATCACAGAAGGAGGATACACAGGCCAACCCCAACACATAGCAAGTCTATGTAGTGTTCTACCATTTTTTTTCAGATTACACCTACGTATCCAACCTAGTATCTCCACATTCCACTAACTACATTCACTTTTGCAGGACCTTGCTGCTCTTTATGAAAAGTTCTACCAATTGATTATCACGATGAGCAAAACTGCTTTAGACATATGTGAAAAGGAAATGGAGTTAAAAATCGAACCAGATGAACAAGCAAAGCAAACAATCAAGATCCTAACAGATGCAATGGTGTCGATGAGTAGAAAGCTACCTCAGCCTCCAGGGACAACGCAACACCAACAAGAGTAGCAGCAAGACCAACAAGAGCAACAGCAAGACCTCCAGAATGCACAGATTTGTGAATTGTGCGAGATGGCATGGAAGGCCGCTGAAAGCAGGTTTGCAACAATAATAGAACAGCTGCAACAATAAGTAGCTGACCAACAACAACAACAACACCAACAAACTTGTGAGAACACTGTAGAAGCTCCAATTAATCCCACAAATTTTCAAGACATTGAAATTGACAAAACACAGGGACTGGAGCAATTGAGCCAGACAAATGATGAGGATTCTTTTCTAGTGGGGAAATTCGTGCCTACTTCAAAAGAAGTGGTTGTTGATGAATAACAAACTCAACCACAAGGTAATGAATATTTTTGTCATACATTTCTTACTGCTTATAAAAAAATAAAAAAAATAAAAACCAATGTCCACCTTGTTCGTACTCGTTATCCAACTGGTTTTTTTTTAATGAAAAAAAAACTTGTCCGATGTGATTCTACTTGTCATCCAACTAATTCCTTTAAATGGTTATCCATTGTGTTTCTGCCGATTATCCCGCCTGTTTGAACTGATTATCCACTTCGTTTGAACTGGTTATCCAATGTGTCCAATATATATGTATGTTCGTACTGATTATCCAACATTCCAACTTTGTACTGCAGCACATGGAACGAATATCTCCACAACAAAAAAGAAGAGATCCCATCAAGATTCCACCAGCAGGGATTCAGGTGTGACATCCACCTATACAAGAAGGACGAGAAGCACTGGTACCAAGAAAAGGAAAGTATTCAAAGACCCAACTATCCCACATTTTGGCCTGGGTATCTTCTTCAGTCAGGAAGACAGTTATGAGACAACCCAGGAGAAGAACACTGAGAAAGATATCACAGGAAGTGTTGATTTGGATAAAAATATCGATGAGACTATAGAAGCAGAAGAATATCCAGTACCATCTACACTCAACGAAACAAAGAATCCCACTCCTTCCATTGATAAAATCATAAGAAGGGCCAATGCACCAGCTTCAAAATCATTAAGTGATACCAAAAAGCTAGAGATGATTGCCACTGCTGCAGAAGAAGTCGAGAAGAACTCAAAGGTGGTTGAAGTAGTCCCTATAAGCATAATTCCACCAGATTGGAATATTGCTTCTACCACTGGTGGTCTACTAATGCTGGAGAAAAATGAGTGTACCACGCCACCGCCTGCAATCTCAAAGAAAGCTGATGAGCTTGATGAAGAGTTAACAAAGACCGTAGAAAAGTAAGTTTAATCCACTGTGACTCCCCACTACAAAATAGAAAGACAAATTTACATACTAACTCTCTTTTCTTTTGTGCTAGGATCCTCAATGAAAAACCTAAGAGGAGAAATCCAGCAAGAGTCCGCCGGTTGCCAGAACGGTTCAGGCCGCTATTCATGCTCCAGAAGAAGAACAAGAAAAAATTCATACAGTGGACAGAGGAGAAGAAAAAAATGACCCAAGAAGAAGCCCTGTTGATAGACTTCGCTCTCTTCCAAAAAGAAGAAGAAATAGTTAAAATCAGGGTAAAAGAAGAAGAAAATGACCCGTGGGATAAAAAACTTACCAGTTTTCCAACTATTTGTCTATTTGACTACTTTTTCTATGCAGGAAACTCTTGTTTGAATTTGGAAAAATAGTTTGGGCGGACAGGACAACATTCTATTCCATGAGGGAAGGGACATGGATAGAAAACAGCATCATAGATGCTTAGGCTGTCATCCTAAACAAAGAAGAAGCTAAAAGTGACTCCCCAAGACGGATATTCTTTGGTGTTTCGTCATTTGTAAGTCAACTAAACCCTCATTGTTTATCCCGCCAGGTAAAATACTTGTCACATGTCTGCAAGTTGTTTATCTATATGTTTGTACTTATTATCCAATTTGTTACTAATGCTTGTCCACCAGAGTTGAACTGGTTATCCAAGCCTTCTTGTTATGCATTTTGCTAGGGGATTGTTTTCGTCTCCCTTCTATGTGATAGCTTGTCCATGATTCATTTGCTGGTTATCCATCTGTTCTGTACTACTTATTCACAAGATCTGAACTGGTTAACCATTCCTTCTTGTGTATGACCTTGTATGTGCTTGATTCCGATCATTGTTTTCTACTGCATTTTCCAACCATTGTACTGACCATTGTATCATTTTCCAACCATCTCAAACAATAATGCAGGATACAATCAGTCGCTACTATCAATAGGGCAGTAACAAAGACGAAATCGAGTTCACATTCTATGAGAGGTTGGGTCTTGAACTAGAAGAACAAGGCCTTACTGTAGCATCCCTGTTAGCGGCAAAAGCTTTAAGCAACATCTTTCACCTCCTTCACTCTTTCTAAAACTGGCTGTTTAAAAATTTTCATATGATTTCCACCTTTAATGTGAAATATCAGATCTACTTCCCAGTATACTACCAAGACCATTACTTCTTGTATGTGTTACTGGTTGAAGAAAAGAAAGTGCTTGTCCTCAACAATATTCATGCAAAAGATCTAGACTACTACAACCCAACGAAAGATCTACTTGTGAGTGAAAAAAAGATATAAAATGATTGTCATACTTTAAGAATTATCCATTGCATTTTGCTGATCCCTGGATTTCATGGCATCACAATTTTAGTTCTTCAAAAGCTACGTTGCATGCGTGTTTCCACGCATAGAACTGGTCAGTACTCAATACACCTTCACAGAGGTTACGCTACCATCGCATAAGGACAGAACGCCGAATGCGGAAGATTGTGGAATATACACAATGCATCACATGGAGCGCTACGATGGTGGTGAGTACGAGGATGGTACTACTTTGGATTTCAACACAGGAAACACCAAAGAGTGCCGGTGGAAATACATGATAAAAATCCTAATGCACCCAGTCAAGAAAAATAAGGACAAAATCCTTGAAGCAATGCACTAGTTCTATACAAATACTGCTGAAGAAGAACAAAAAGAAATTCCAGATCATGTTGATTTGAGCAGCAAATCTTACTACAATGACAAAAAATTGAGGGATGGGTTAAATAAACTGTCATTATGTTCTCTTGTATAATTGATTGACTGTTGATCCTAAAGTGTTTGATATCCAACAGCTGTGTATTGGCCATCCTAGTATATTATCCAACCGTTTGTAATGGTTATCCAGGATCTTTGTACTAGTTATCCAACTTGTTACACTTGATTATCCGAATGTTTTATAGTGATTATCCAGTCAAAAAAATACAAGTACAATCTTTAACCTGATTATCCATGAGTTTATACTTGTTATCCAAAACCTCAATACTGCTTATCCATATGTAACCAATGCCTATCCACCATGTGGACATAACAAAACAAGGATTCAGACAGGGCTTCTAAAAATACATTACAAGAGAAAATATCCATAAGAAAATATCCAGACAATGTATTTTGGTTGTCCAAATATTTCTGTAAATTCCCAAACAACAAAAACTGAGTGTCCCAATTACTTGGTCTTTCTACTTCTTTATTAAACTGCCTATCCTATGATGTTATACTGCTTATCCAATATTTCTTTGTTGATTATCCAATGCTCTGTATTGATTATCCAGGATCTTTATTAAACTCTATTTGTAATGGTTATCCAGGATCTTTGTACTAGTTATCCAACTTGTTACACCTGATTATCTGAATGTTTTATAGTGATTATCTAGTCAAAAAATTGCAAGTACGGTCTTTAACCTGATTATCCATGAGTTTATACTTGTTATCCAAAATCTCAATATTGCTTATCCATATGTAACCAATGCCTATCCACCATGTGGACATATCAAAACAAGGATTACAACAAAAATTGAGTGTCCCGATTTCTTGGTCTTTCTACTTCTTTATTAAACTGCCTATCCTATGATGTTATAATGCTTATCCAATATTTCTTTGTTGATTATCCAATGCTCTGTATTGATTATCCAGGACTTTTGTATTGGTTATCAAGCCAATGTGCAGAATAAATTATGCATCAAATTAACTCAGATTCCATAAATTAACATAGATTAAAATTAACATAAACTAAAACAGCAATAATCTATCAAACTACCTTTGAGACTACAAAAAAGGCTATCCAACCTGGGCATGTTAATTAAAGAAGCAAATGGCATGTTAATTGGGGGGCTTCGCCCCCCATGATAAACTAAACGACTCCCGCGGCTACTGGAATCGCAGGTCACCAACCTGCCCCGGCTGCGGCGCCCTGCCGAACACGCCAATGTAGCTAAGGTAATCCTTTTTTCGTGTGTGTGTAAGGAGAGTGTGTATGTAAGGAGAGTGTGTTATTGCGTTAAGAGGGGACACAAATTACTTGTATAAATCCCCCCATGATAAACTAAACGACCCGGCTGCGTGCCGAACATGGCAAATTTCATAAATAGTATTTAATTGAATGAGGGGCAGTTTGGCAAATGATGGAGAACAAAAAATGAATGAGGGGTAGCTGGTTAATAATGGTTATCCAGTCATTTTCTAATGACTTTCAAACTGGTTTGCACTGATTATCCAAAATGGTTATCAGTACTTGCCCAATGTGTTAGTATTGATTATCCAAATGGTTTGTAATGCTTATTGAATTTTTACTTTGTTTTTATTCTTTATGAAAAATGCTTGTTCATAGTGTCAACACTAGTTATCCAGCTGTGTTTAACGGTTATCCATAGAGTGCACACTGGTTATCCTCAGTGTCAATACTGGTTATCCACAGTGTGGAGCATGTTACTGTGTATACTGAAAAGCCACATGTTTTGTAATTAAATAGAATTTAAAAGATTGAGGGAGTAAAAATAAAAAAAGAAAACTGAAAAGACTGATGTTTTTGCTGAGTACATCATGCTCTAATGGGTAGTTACAGAGCCACACGTTTTTACATGGAATGGATTGAATAAGGATCAGTTACATAACTGTCATCAAATGAGTTTCTTGATTATCACAATGACTGTTGATGAATAGAGAGTGAGAAGACACTGATTTGTGCAAAAAGATAGGACTGCATGGGTAGTTAATCCGTCAAACTACCTCTGTCAATATCAGGAAAAAAAGAAAAAAAAACTTCCTGCAAAGTCTCCATAAAACTCCCTGACATCTCCCCATATAGCATTTCTATAAAACTCCCGCATCTGCACATACACCAGAACGCCTGATCTGAGCATCCAAAACATCTAACAGCCAGAAAAAAATGAAAAACGAAAAAATTTCCTCAAATTCCACAACCAAACAAATGTCCCCCAGGCAAGCAAAGCAAGAAAAGAACAACTACCCTGAATATATCCATCACGATATGCTTGATAATATGTTCATTAATCTGACATTGAAAAAAATTGGTGAGTTTCGTCGTGTCAGCAAAGCTTGGGAGCAAATGACGAAAAGACAAGAATTTGTTCTTAAAAAACATGAGATGAGTTACCCAGCAACTGAAAACAACATCCTTGTTTTCACTCAAACAAGCCAAGAAGGTCACCTGTTGCAAGACAAACTAATCGCCACAAATATAAAGTGCAAATGGATAACCCATGCAACCACATACGATTGCAAGAAGAGATGTCGATGGGTGACGACGGCATCCATAAAATCATGCCTATCACCACAGATTTGGTCTGTCTGCAAACTAGGTCTCAAATCAAATTCTTGAATCCAAATACAACACAACTTGCATAAATTGAATGGCCATATGATGTCCCTCTCAGCAGTTGTAAAACAGTATTTGGGTACGTATCATCCTCAAAAACTTACGTTTTCATGGCCCTTATTGCCGATGGAAAAAACATGCAAGGCTGCATTTGTTCTTTTCAAAGTTGTTCAAGTATTCATAGAGGGGAATGGAAAACACTTTGCAATGTATGTTCTCGCCTTATCTGATGGAACCTGGTTTGATAGATTCGTGTACTGACGTGTAGACAAACTATCCTCTAAAATAGCAACAGCTCAAGAGTTGCTGGTCGTGTTTGACTACCACATTCAACAATTCCAAACCATAAACTGCCCTCCATCTCCAATCTTCTTTAACCCAAATGATCCTTATCATATGAATCTCCAAGTGAAAATATTGGACTTCCAGGGGACTTTGTGTGTAATAGATGAGTACCACATTACTCAGAATCATCACTTTCAGATGTGGGCATGGGATCCAAATACTTCCACATGGGATTGCATGTTCGAGACCCATGAATTCCCAAATGTGAACACACAGGTTCCACACGGATTACAGTTCCGCCATGATTGGCTTTATCTAGTGTTTCTGAGCCACAAATCATCTCCAGCGGGACAGTTCATTGTCAAAGGATACGTTAATCGACATTTGCTGTTGTATAGTGTTCCTACCAGGAAAATCACACACTCAAGTACATCACCGGATCTAGAAACCAGTTTCATCATTACAGCATGTTACTTTTGGGAGACATTAACACACTTTTAGGATTTTTTTTCTTTAAAAAAATTTATCTTTCCCTTGTTAACTTATTACTAAAAATAATTGTCCATTGATCTTATACCGGTTATACCAGGATTTCGTACTAAGTATCCACATTATCTATGTTGGTTATCTAATGATATTATTTGTGAAGATAGCGTGTTTAACGTATGCATGTCTTTTTTGTAATATCTAGATGCATTTAAAGTTGCATATCTGGTACAGGCATGTTGGATATCCAGTATAGACGAGTTGGATATCCAGTACAAACGAAATGGATATGTATTACAAACAAGTGGGACATCCAGTACAAACAAGTTCGATAGGCATACAAACCAAATGGGTGGATATCCAATACAAACAAGTTGGATAACCAGTTCAAACTGGTTGGATAATCAGCATGAACACAACGGATAACCAATTTAAAATAACCACTTGGATAACCAGTACAAACAAAATGGATAACCAGTTCAAACTGGTTGGATAATACTGCAATTTAAAATAAATACTACTTTTAACTAAAAATCTTTACACCATCAATACTGTTCATTTCAACATCAAGTAAAAATACTAATAAAACATCTTGTTGAAAAAACGCTGCGCTCCAGCCTCCCTGGCAACTTCCCTTCGGTTAGGAAATGAGAACCCACCAAAGTTTTGATTCATGAATGTCATGTTTTGATGAGAAGCATTCACAGCAGCAGAAGTGCTAGCGCCTTGAAACTCCTGGCCAGCTCCCTTGGGAATTGGAAATGAGAATCCACCGGAATTTTTGTTGATGAATGGCATGCTTTGATGAGAACCATTCACAGAAGTGGAAGCCCCTGCCCCTGAAAAATCCTGGGCAGCTACACTTGGATTAGTAAATGAGAATCCACCAGGATTTACGTTCAAAGATGGCATGCTTTGATGGGAAGCATTCACAGCAGCAAAACTTCCTGAGCCTGAAAAATCTTGAGCAGCTCCCTTTGGATAAGGAAATGGCATGCTTTGATAATGCAGGTCTGATGCAACTGAAGCTCTTGTTCGGTCAGCAGCAATTCTTGTATTTGTTTTTCTGCCTCTAACTTTGTTACATGCCTTCTCAACAATGCTTTTAGGACGTTCGTTCCTGGGACCAAACTTCTTCCTCTTTACAGCCGGATTCTTTATAACACCATCATTGTCTACAGACTCATCATTATTATTCAAACCAATGAAACTGCCAAGTTCTTCTTTAAGCTTGTCAACCGCCTCGTCACAACATTTCGTTGCATCTTTGTTATATTCACTTGCATACACCAAGTCTGAAAATCGTCTCATAATTAGCGCCTTCCACAGCAATGGCCCAGCAGCTTTTCCATCTCCCTCATTAGCTATGCTTGACCTGGCACCATAACCTTTTGTCTATCTCATACATATATAATCTTTAGGAAACTCATCAACAAAGGTTACATGATAGATTCGAAGAATGTGGCAACAAAGCATGCCCGCTTCAGAGTAGTACCTGCACGTGCATGAGAATCTCTGTAACCTAGTGTCATGTACAACCACATGCTTAAAGTGCTCTATCCCAAACCATCAAACATTGTACGTCACAATATTGCCATCATTTGAGACCTCTAACTGCTCCTGCCTGCACAACATCCCATCTTTGTGCAGCTGCTGAACCTCCCTAAATGCTTCAACTGTGTACACTCTGCAAATGCTCTCTAGGAAAGGGTCACCAGGAAGATATGAATCGATGTTTCCCTGGCTACAGCGTAGAACTTCACCCCTCACAGCTACCCACCAGCAGTGTACAACATCAGAGAAAATTCCATGGAAATCACAAAGCGATGATGTGGCCTTCATTTTACGACAAATTGCATTATTTGTTGACTCGCTCCTCTGTGAAGACAAGGTAGCACTAGAAAAAACATCTTTGCTAAATGCAGGACACCATATATGCCTCACATCATAAATATCATTGAGCCATTTATAATCATGACAATCATACTCATCTAATAATCTGTGCACAACAATATAAAACACATGCATAAAAAGAAAAATAGTTAGATTATCCATATAGATCCACAAAGAAGTATGTATATCCTTAGGCTTTCTACTGCTTATCCAGTAATCATTTACAGATTATACAAAAACTGGTTATCCACAATGTGTAAACTAGTTATCCAGCCATAACGGGTGGTTATCCACAATGTGTAAACTATTTATCCAGCCATAATTGCTGGTTATCCACAATGTGTAAACTAGTTATCCAGCCATAACGGGTGGTTATCCACAATGTGTAAACTAGTTATCCAGCCATAATTGCTGGTTATCCACAATGTGTAAACTAGTTATCCAGCCATAACGGATCGTTATCCAGAATCTGTAAACTAGTTATCCAGCCATAATTGCTGGTTATCCACAATGTGTAAACTAATTATCCATGCCTTTTTTTAGTTGTGCTTCTATGCGGCTGCTTGTCCATACATTATTTGCTGGTTCCATCATTGCTGTATAACTTATCTATCTATAAGTAATTATCAGGAAGATCATGCATGACCACTAACACATACCCATACAAAAAATAAAATAAAATAAGAGACACTCTTAATCATGGCAATGATCAAAATAATAATAAAAATATTGACAAACTAACCTCCTCCATAATACCTCGAACTCTATTTCTGTTGAAGTGTATTTCATCAGATAATTAAAGTTCTTAACAAAATCTGGCTTGTTCCTTAAATGACCAATTCGCTTTCTTGAATTTTCACCTATGTGCCATACACAGAGACAATGCCGAGAACTTGGAAAACATGTCCGAATACTTGCAGCAATGGAAGGTGCTTGATCTGTCATTATGGTTTGTGGCTGCTTATCTCCCATTGATTTCAAAAACTGCTTGAACAACCAATCAAAAGAGGGTTCTTTCTCATTTAACACAAAACTACAACCAAACATGACATTCTTGTTATGATTATCCATACCCACAAACGGAGCACAGATCATTTCATATCTATTTGTTCGATACGTCGTATCAAACACAAGCAAGTCACCAAACAAATCATAATCCTTTCGCATTCTGCCATCCCTCCATAAGAAAGTACACAGCCTACCCTGCTCATGACAGTCAAAACCAAAGAAAGAATCTTCTTCAGTTTACTTCCTGTCCCAAAAAATCTTCATCAGCTAATTACAATCGCCACCTTCAAATCCAACACCAGGATGCTCATCATTGTAGGCATCTCTCAAAGTATACTTCATGTTCGGACTTCCCCCGTGTAATTTTGCCACAAACTTATATGCATCAACCAAAGGGATGCCACTCCTTGTCATGTCTCTGATTATCTTCATATCATTTTCATCTACTTCATGTTGAGATCGAAGAAGTCCAATCATTTCATTCATCACAAGATCATGATTGTGATCAACCAGATGCTTTGTACAGGTTCACAACCCATCTTTGTCAACAGTAAAATGGATATAAGCTGGACACCCACACCGAAAATTAATCCTCTCATGGCACACATCACCATTTCCACTGGATCTCTTGTATCCTTCGTGGTTACAACAGAACTTCTTCATCCTAACTTTATCAGTCTTACCTCTAAACTTCTGTTTTCCCACTCTCACATGAAAAGCAATCAATCGGGCATGATCATTATACAAGTCATAAGCTTCTTTCTCATTTCTTGCAATCTTGCCAACTAAAGTAAAAACAGCCAAATCATTATTCTTCGTCACAGATGAAATTTCCTTGTACAAGGCATCCTCCTCCACCATCACATTATCAACTCCCAATTCATTGCCGCTATTATCTTCTCCACATTCTGAGAAAAACAAAAGAGATGGTTGGATAACCATTACCAAGCAGTCGGATAATCAGTATTAACACAATAGATAAACAAATCAAAAAAAATTTAAACACGTATAAACAAGTTGGAAAACCTACCCTTCAGAGCAGATGTAACTTCCATGCGCAAAGTATCATCCAGCATCACATCATCCCCCAGCTCATTGATATGATTATCTTTTACAAAAAAATGAGACAAACAAAAAAACAAAAAATTTTTAAAAAAATCTTTGATACACCAATTCAATATAAACAACTCAAAAATATTGGATATCCAGTACAAATCAGTTGGATATCCAGCAAATAAAATTTGGATACGCATGTAAATCCGTTGGATAACCAGTACACATAAGCTAGATATCCAGTACAAATAAGTTGGATATCTAGTACAAACAAATTGGATATTCATACAAATTTCATTAAGGTTGGAAAACCAGCACAAAATGAGTAGGAAAACCAGTAAAACAAAAAAAAAGTTTCATAATCAGTACTTCGTATCGTCTATCCTTGTTTACCGCAATCAACAAAAAGCATATCCGCATATCCGTCTAAATAACAAACGATATCCAACACAACATAACTGCTTATCCACTTCGTACAACATTAACAAAAACAGAACTCTGAAACAACTAGATTGATTCTTTTCTCACAAACAGTACACTCCAAAACCTACACAAACCTGATTGCAGCGGATCTATAACAGAACTATGACCTTGTGTTGATTTGCTGGCACAGTAAGATTGTTCGATGGATTTGCTACCACTACATCCCGCATTCATCAAGCCGGAATCCTCAACGATATAACTCATCATTCGATCTGAACTCAGCATATCGTCGATCCAATCACCGTTTCGCCACTCTGGTGGAATCGGAGCCTTTCCTCGATCGCTGAACGCCGTCGCCGTCTCAACGACTCGATCGCCGCCGACCGTGTCCACCTCAATGCCTCGATCGCCGACTCCTGTTGCCGCCTCAACGCCTTGATCGCCACCGGCCGTCGCCCATCAATAATACTCCATCACAAAGTTTTCTAAATTTGAATGAATTCGGTAATTTATATAAGCCCGATTTTTTTTTTAAAAGAAAGAAATCTGAATTATAATAGCGGACTCACGTTATTATAATAGAGTAAAGTACACGCGCAGGGGGGTACACGGTACCCCCGGGTGTACCAGATAATTTGCCGTGTCCTCAACCTTTTTTTTTGTTAAAAAATTGTGAATATAATCTTTCCCTCATTGTTGTAAGCATCATCTTTAATCTATCTTCTCCTAATTTCCTCCTACATCCAATATCTGCTTCATCATTATCACATCAAATTCATTTTTATTCCTCCTCATCAACACCATCATCTAATCTATTTTTATTTGTTCTCGATCTCCATGACTTTTAATTGCAATGACAATAGAGATTAAGGCAGCAAGAGAAGCTTACAACAGAGAAGTTATGGATCTAAGGATTATTTTCATTGGTGGGAATGGTTGGTAGCAGCAAAAGAGTATGTCGATTTTATGGGTTTTAGGGGTATTGCTTTTGTTTCTTCATTGTTTTAGGTGTTAACTATTGATTGAGGCGATTTGGGTTATTAAGGTTTTTTTAATGTCAAGAACATTCTATTTTTTTTAGAAATTAAGATTGAATTTGATTGTGGCGATCATGGTGAGGTATAGTGGCGGCGAGATTTGGACTACAAGTTTTAGATTTAGTTGTGGGCAAGTGCTACTCTAATTTGTCCCATCATGGTTGTCAATCTTGTCCATAGCTGCCGTTAATCTAAGCCAATATCGGTGACTATGACCAGTCACAAAACTGGAGCTCTCTCATTTTTTGAATTTGTAAGTCCAAGCATATTTGTTCTTGAGCTCGGTTTTGACATTGCGGCCGTTTCCAATATCATACAACATCCTTCAAATTGCAAAAATGAAATTTTATTTCTGTAGAATTGTTTGTCAAATATGCTTTGATGGTTGACTGATAAAAGTGATAAACAACTCACGTCAACAAAGCTAATCTGAATTTTTGTTGATATAAATTGAGTTGTGGATTAATTAGTTAGTTTGAACGTGGAATTGGATGTCTGTTTGCATAATTTTGGAAAAATAGAAACAAATGGATTCCGATTGCCTTGTTGAACTTTGAATGTTTACGTGTCCTACCTCAGAGAAATGCATTTCTTATGATGCTCTGACTTTCAGCCAGTTACTAGAAACCACAAACCCTTTTAGCAGGAGGCGTTTTGGGACATTTCAGTAATGAAGGGTAAAAATGTCTTCACAAACCTTTTATTGATGTTGTCATATTGTCACGGGCTTACTTTTTCAAAGTAACATCCGTGCGGTACTAGCACAAAACAAACCAACGATCAAGTGCCAGCTCAGTCTTTATCCCACAAGAACGTGCAAAGTTATGCAAACTCATAAAGAACGTAGACAAAAGAAGAGCTAAGAAAGCTTGAAAAGTGAAAGAACGATGCAGGCACAAGAGAGCTTAAGAAATGCTTTGAGAACTTTACTCAATGCTTGGATGGTAACAAATGAGGGAGCATGGGTATTTATTGGCAAGTCCCCAAGTCTAAAAGAATGCTAGAGAATTCTATACAAGACTTATAATATTGAAATTTTAGAGAATTCTTACAATAAAATATTCCATGTCAATAAATATCTACAAGTGTGTAGAATCCTCCAACACCTTCTAGCAAACTCGGGAAGCTTTCACACGGTTCCACACATATCTAGCAAGTTTCGGGTCTTTCTAGAGAATTCCAGAGTCTTCAAGATTTGGCCGGAGAATTCCACAAGGTTCTAGAACGTTCCGTCCCTCGTCTGTCTATGGAAACGGCCTGATTTTGTAGCAAACCACCCGAAAGTGCGGGGAAGAAAAACCATTCGTGACATCCTTCCCCACCAAAACGGTGCATCGCTTGATGCACGCTAAGTCTCAAAGGAAATGTTGACGGGAACGGGTGCGTGATCCTTGCCAATCCTTGGTGAACTTGTATGCACGAGGGCTATTGCCTTTGTAGCCCCCAAGGATGTCCTTAGGTGTAGTTGGTTAGAAACCAAGGAAAATCTTAAACGAACTCTTGCACGTGCTCTCACTCCGCATCAAGTTGTAGGAAAATTGGGCGACGTCTAACAAACGTACCCAATCCTTCTGGTTGGCTGCCACATAGTGCCTAAGGTACAGGTCCAAAAGGCAGTTGATGTGCTCTGTCTGCCCATCTGTCTGCGGGTGCAACGATGTAGACATCTTGAGCTTCGTCCCAAACAAGCAAAAGAGTTCTTGCCAAAAACAGCCGGTGAACCTCGAGTCCCTATCACTTATGATCGATGTAGGTAGCCCCCAATACTTCACCACATGCCTAAGAAAGAGCTTGGTTGTTATCTCGGCGGTGCACTCCTTTGGGGCGGGTATAAAGACCGCATACTTGGACAAACGGTCTACCACAACAAGTATGTTGGTGCAACCCTCGGAAACCGGCAAACTCACGATGAAATCCATTGAAACACTGTTCCATGGCCATGCGGGTGATCTTGTTCGGTCTTGTCTTGTTGGCAAAGAAGATAAGTCCTCACATAGGTCTCCACATCTTCCTGCATGCCTGGCCAAAAGAATCATTTACGAACCAAAGCAAGTGTACGATGCGTACCAGGGTGACCCGCATAACGGCTATCATGGCAATCTCTTAGAATCTCCTTTCTAAGTCCATCCCATGGGGGCACATACAAACGGTTTCCCTTGGCATAGAGTACCCCACCTTGAAGCCAAAACCGCGTTGTCTTGCCTTCCTTCACGAGTTCCATGAATCTTTGGGCTTGATGGTCGTGCTCAAGACCCTTCTTGATACGATCAACCAACGTCCCCTAGGGTATGCTAACAATTGGAGCAAGACACGCCTTTTGGCTTACGGCATCGGCCACGTGGTTAGTCTTCCTCGGGCTGTATTCCAGCTCACACTTAAACTCGACCAAGAAGTCCAACCAACGTGCTTGCTTGCTTGAAAGTTTAGGTTGGCTTTGGTGGTAGCTCACTGCCCAATTATCCGTCTTGATCTTGAATGGCGTGGTAGCCTTCAAGTAATGCTCCCAAACTCTAAGGCAATGAACTATAGCAACATTTCCTTCTCATGTGTCAGCCACCTCTTCTCGGTCTCATTCAACTTGTAGCTTTCATAGGCAATTGGGTGACTGTTTGCATGAGAATGCCCCCAATAGCAAAGTCCAAAGCGTCCGTGTACACCTCGAACGGCTTCTCAAAATCACTGAGAGCCAAGACCGGCTCTCGAGTGATGGAGTCCGTCAAAGCCTCAAACGTCGTTTGGTGCTTAGGTGTCGAGCACCATACTTGCCCCTTCTTCAAGAGATTCGTTAATGGAGCGGCTATGGTGGAGTGCCCTTCAATGAACCGCCTATAATAATTGACAAGCCCCAAGAACGATCTCAGCTCCGTTGGCTTCGTGGGTGCCTCCCATTCCATGTTGGCTTTGATCTTGGCTGGATCCATGCGGATTTTACCCCCAACGATGATATGCCCGAAGAACGACACCTCCTCTAGGCTGAAGGAGCATTTCTCCCGCTTGACATAGAGCTCGTTCTCTCTAAGGACTTGGAAAACGGCCCTAAGATGCTCCACATACTCCTTCATATTGTTGCTATAGATAATGATGTCGTCCGAGTATACCACAACAAACTTATCAATGAAATCCGCTAGCACACGTTGCATCAATGTGCAAAATGTGGCTGGGGCGTTAGTTAAACCGAACGGCATAACAAGAAACTCATAAGAGTCATACCTCGTCTCCATGGTCGTTTTCCGTTCATCACCCAGTGCTATGCATACTTGGTAGTATCCCTTCAGCAAGTCTAGCTTAGAAAAGATCTGCGCCTGAAACCGATCAAACAAGTCCGATATAAGTGGGATCGAGTACTTGTTTTTCACGGTTAACTTGTTCAAAGCCTGATAGTCGATGCACAAACGTAGTGTCCCGTCCTTCTTGCGTTGGAACAAAGTTGGTGCACCCCAAGGACTCTTGGACGGTCGTGCATGACTCGATTCTAGTAGCTCCTTGATTTGCACCTTGAGCTCCGGACATACGATAAGGCACCTTCGCGACCGGATTCGCCCCGTCCACCAATTCAATGGCATGATCAATCTCTCACCTAGGTGGAAGACCCTTGGGCAATTCCTCGAGCATCACGTCCTTGAACTCAACAAGGACCCTTTCTATGGGAGGCGGGATCCGTTCCTCCTTTGCCGGTTCCTCCGTGCATGGTTCCTCCTCAAACACCATGGCGGCAAAGGTGTGTTCACCCCGTTTTAGCCCCTTGTTCAGCTGGGAAGGGCTAATCTCATTTCCAGCCAAAACTTCACCACACAAGGCTTCTCGCCTTAGAGGATCACCATCGTGTCGTTGCTAGGAACGATAATCGGCTTTACCTGGTCTAAAAACTCCATGCCAAATACAAGACCGTAATCATCCGTAGGTGCAACGGAGAAATTAGCCGTACCTAACCAGTTTACGTCCCTTGCTTCGCCCACAAGACATGTCCATTCGCAGTTTACGTCCTTGAAGCGTCCTTTCCTAGGCTCCATCTGACTCCAAGTGAATGGGCTACCTCCGCCTTGAGGTAACTCGTGCCGTCCCCCGTGTCTAGCATGTCTCATCTAGACCCCTTTGCTAACGACGCCTCCATGTAAAGACGACCTTGACGAGTCTCGGCCTTAGCATGCACGGCGTCTAGCCGTTTCATGCAAGCAGCCCGTTTTTCCTCTTTTTGGCACAACCCTTGCACCAATGCTGCCAACTTTGAATGGGAATGGCAATCCTGTG